GTTCATCGCATTCTTGCTGTTTGGTTTAGTACGACGGCATGACAAAAGAAGACAGCTGGTTGTTGGAGAGCGCCCAAGTTTTACATCCGCTTACACGAAGACGTTATATGTTCTTGTGCAACCACTGGTTTTCCCTGTATAAAGAAGATGGCCGAGTGGAACGAGAGCTACTTGGAGTGCGAAGTGTCGAAACTAGTGAGTGAACAACTATCCGATTAAGAATGATTAAATTTCTTTTAGAATACACTATTCTTGTGGTCACTGGGGATCAGGAAGGATGTGGTACAGACAGCAACGTTTTCGTTACCATTCATGGTCGGACTGGAATTACGCCGCGTATTGAATTAGCACCAGAACTGTTGAGAGAAAATAGCACGAAGCATCTGCCGTTTACCAGAGGAACTAGCAGTACATTCACTGTGCGGGCTCCCAGTGTCGGTGCGTTGACTAAAATTCGAATCAGTCAGAATGCATCGGGACGTTTTCCACACTGGTTCATTGAACGTGTCGTTGTAACGAATTTGGCCCATCCAAAGTGGACTTATTACTTCAATTGTTCCTTTTGGTTGTCCCCATCTTACGCGGATGGAAAGCTCAGTCGACTGGTCAGGGGATTCCGCGAACCAACAGGACTTGGAGGAGGTAAATGAAGAAATAGACTGGAATTAAGGAGCACGCTAAACTAAAAAGTAGTGAGAGCTACCGATGTAAGATATTCACTGAAATATTTGCTGCAAACTATCTGTTACTTATCAAGTCCGATGTTCCACAAACTGCATTGATGTTTGCGATAGAAACAACCTTGAGCCGTGATGGTTGCTATTCACCTTCAAGCTATCACTAGCGGGAGTACGACACAAATCCTATTCCATTTCAGAACCGAAGAGTCATGCATCTGGCGAACAATATGTAAGAAACAAGAGAATAAAATATCTCCCTTTGTAGACATCATCATTGAAGTAAGTGACTTCAGTTGCTCTTCTGAAAGTGATGATATAAATAGGTGTCTGGATAGAAGTTAAATAAACCTGTCAGCTAAATTTGGCCAAGTGAAGTCATGAATTGCGATACACCTGCAAAAGAGAATGGACTTATGGTTCTTCGGGCGAGATGGACCAAGTAGTTAGAGCGC